GGAAGCGCGTTGGTCCCGGGCCCGCAAACTGTTCAGTAGCTCCTTTTTTCTTGCACTTGGCCTCTGCGTATGGGTCTCATTCCCCGCCCCCCCCCCCCCCCCCGACCTCTTTACCCTGAACTTGATTCTTCCCGAATTCACAGTGATGCACAGTTCCGCGAGCACACTTTGCTCTACGTCTTGGCCTAGTACACCCTCCATTCAACGTGTCGCCAAGCTCCTGGGGACCCCCGTTTTCACCACGTCTACCCACTGGGACACAGCCTCTCCCCCGCCCCACTTCCGAATGGGGACAGAGTGGGTGTTCTCGGGCAAGTGCTCGGCCTAACTGCCTGGCTTCCCCAAGTTTAGCTATTTTAGGCTTTGACACTGGTAACTACGTTCCCATTGAGCCTGCCCAACACTAGGGTTCTGTGGGACTGGGGCGCCCTCTACTGTCTCCCAGGAGTATAACACAATCGTTGAAATGACAAAGACTGTTCTCAACTCTGGCTTTCTATGAGGTTGTGATGTGTCTTATTGTCTCACTAACGCTGCAGGGTCGTCTGACCTGGGACTCTGTCATCGCTTCTACGTATTAAAAGGAGATGATGGGTCACCGTTTTATCACAGGGAGAAGGTACGTATTTAAACCTCATCGCTTAAATCCCTCCTTCAAAATTGGATTTTACTTACGATATTGCCCATATGTTCAATAACAGGCATAAAAATTAAACTGATAGAAAATTTAACAAAGATATGGACATTTTCAAAATAATTCATTGAAAGAACATAAATACACTTAGAGTTGGCATCACATTCATTATTGGTCCTGTGAATAATATCTTCATAAGGTATTATTGTTCAGATTAATGTCCATAAATCACTAATCTGAAAGTAATCTGTGGTTTATCTACTTTTATTTTTTAATCATTATTTTATTTTATTTTTGCAAAAATTCCTGAATGACTTTGATAACCTGTAAAGCTTTAAATTCTCTATGTATCTGAACTCTAGGTATTGTAATTTTTCTTATGCTGTTTAATCCTAAGAACAGCAACTTCACTGGTATCACCAAACTTAGACTCCATAAATCAAAGGAATATTAGGTTGATCAAACAAGTACATTAAGTCTATTCTGATGGTTTTTAATTTAATGGTTGTAACTGTCTGTGTACTTTATCTTAGTGATACATCTTTTGAGAAATTAGAAAATGAAGCCCTTGAATGGTGTGGCTCACTTCGTTAGAGCAACATTCCCTAAACCAAAAGGTCACTAAAGGGTCTCAGGTTCAATTCCCAGGGAGGGCACATGAGCAGGTTGCAGGTTCAAGACCGATTGAGTGTTTCTCTAGAAAGAAAGAAAAGAAAAAGAAAAAAGAGAAAGAAAAGAAAAGAAAAAGAAAAAAGCATGTCCTTAGGTGAGGTTAAACTATTTTTTAATTTTCTAAAAAGAAAATAAGAAATGCATGTGGTCAATTTATCCCCTTTATATTCTGAAAGCCATTGAAATGAGTGTGTTATCTAATTTACATTTAATGCACTAGAATATTTACTTCCCTTCTAGAATCAGATAACCACTAGACTCAGTCATTTAATACTGGGGCTAAATGCATGTTCAGAGTAACGCTGCTGTGTATTGGCCACATTTGTATGCTATGTCCTATGTCTGAAGTGCAGTCCCAATTTCTCATTTTTTGGAAAATCTCAGGATTTTTGGAATGGGCTAAAGCCCCAAGCAGGTAGACATAACAGGACTATGGTGGCATGATGCACTGAAAGATTCCAGATCCTTCTTGGGTAAGACTTAGAAATTTGCCTTTTCTCCCAATTATCCTGTTAAAAAATGATTGTAAACAATGCAGCCTCACAAAAAGATGCGGAATAATCGTATAAATCTTGACTCTGTCCCCCTAGGCTGGCTTTGTCCCCATTTCGTTTGTGCTGTTGAAGGGGACCCTGTTGCTGCTCAGATGTCGTCCGGGCTCCGCTCACCTCTCAGGATCTGCACCCCCGAGCCCGTGACGCCGCCACGGAGCGCTCTCGGGTCTGCTGAGCCCACAGCCACCGAGAAATGGACCTTGAGAAGACCCCTACATGTACGCTGTTATTTGGTGAGGGTTGAATTCTAACCTCAGCCATCCATCCGGCCTCTGGGTCCAAACCCCGCCCCCCCCGCCCCCTCCCCCCGCCCCCTGGCGCTGCAGTGCATTTCAGACGGAGGAAAGGCGGGCAGAAGGGCCCTGTTGAGGACGAGGGACAACCAGGCCAGGTCAGGGAGCGCTGGGCTTGGCCCTAGGAGAGGAGAGCCATGGGCTGCCCTGCTGGCCCTCGCTTTCCATCTCTGCTCTAACAAGGGGGCAGCTGTTCTGGCAGGAGGTACCCAATATGGTCCGGAAAGCTCTTAAGAAATATCCACAGAGAGACCCCACTCTGGGGCTCCAGGGGTCCCAGCTCCACGCCAGGCCCCCCAGCCCAGGGCCGCGGCGCCAGGAGGAGAAGTCCCCACAACTCCTGGCTATGAAAACTAGCGGGCACTGAGGCTGAGGGGGACCCTACGACGAGGCTGCCGGAGTCCCAGGCAGGCGGTCCTCTTAAAGTACCCCGTGCGGACTTGGACTCACTTGCTCCGAGCTCCTGCGCCGGGACAGCAGCTGCAAAGGCGCCAGGGACACTCGAGGGGGAACTGAGTCATCGGGCTTCATGAGGAGGGCTGGAGGGGAGGCTCGCTGTGCCGTTGTGCTCCTTGGCTGAGCTCTCCAATCACCCAGAGCAGGGGGCGCCAAACCGGAGTCCCCATCACACTCACCCCGCGCCTAGCGTCCCTGAGACCCCGCCCCTTCCAACGGGCGCGCCCACCCAGCAGCTTCCGGTGGCTTTGCCATACAAATGGGCCTGCCTTGGACCATGCCCTGAACTTTCCTAAATGCTCTCGAAGGCTCACAAACCCCTAAAAAGCAGCATCAGGGCCTCGGCATGCCTTGTACTTCCTGCTAAGCGGTCCCAGGCCGCGCACTTAGTGGCAGCCGGCTTCGGTTCACAGCCTGGCCTCTCCCAGGCACCTCGGAGCCCAGCACAGGTGACAACCAGCTGCAGGTCACTTTTGTAGCGCCTCCCAGGTGGCCGAGGCGGGGCACAGGCAGCGGCTCATCTGGGCATACACCAGTGCGCCTCCCAGGAGCCCCCAGAACCAACCCCCGGGGGGCCACCTTCAGATCACACCGGAGTTCCACGTAACCACCCCCACAAATGACATATCCAAATGGCAGACTCGCCGGGCACCAGAATCCCTCCTAACTGAGTCCTGCTCCGTGGGGCCAGCGCCCAACAACACTTCCTCTACTGTAGCCAAGGCTGGTCCTCACAGCCAATCAGCCAGAGAGTCAATCCCTCCTTCCGCGGTGCCAGCAGCCACCAGGGCTCAACCACAGCAGGAAGGCACACGCAAGTCACCCAAGGGACACCCCTGGAGCCCTGGGCTCAGGAGACCAGGGAGACTGCACCCCGGGGCCCCACAGGACACCCGCCACATAGGGTCACTTTCTACCGAGCCTGTGTGACAGAGTAGCCCTACTTAATACACAGAAACAAACACAGGGAGGCAGCCGAAAAGAGGAGCGAAACATGTCCCCGATGAAAGAACAGAAGAAACCTCCAGAAAAAGAACTAAACAAAATGTAGACGAGTAACATACCAGATGCACAGTTCAAAATGCTGATTATGAGGATGCTCAGTGATGGAAATAAAAAATTTCAGGCAAATGGAAATGAAAAACAAAACCGGGGGAGCAATACTTATACCAGACGAAATAGACTTTAAAACAAAGGCTATAAAAAGAGGCGGGGGAAAGCCCCAGCGATTGTAGTTCTGGGTATTTTTTTGAGGAAACCCCAAGCATGAATTCAAAAAGACACATGCATCCCTATGTTCATTGCGGCATTATTTACAATAGCCAAGATATGGAAGCACCCAAAGTGTTCATCCAATAGGTGAATGGATAAAGAAGTGGGATGTATATACAATGGACTACTACTCAGCCATGAAAAAGAATGAAACTTTGCCGTTTTGTGACAACATGGATGGACCTGAAGGGTATTATAATAAGTGAAAAAAGTCAGAGAAAGACAAATACCATGTGATTTCACTTATATGTGGAATCTAAAAAACAAAATAAACGAACCAAAAAAACCAAAAACAAACAAACAAACAAAAAACCCCCAACGAACAAACCAGAAACAAACTCATGGATACAGAGAACATTCTGATGGTTGTCAGATGGGTGAGGGATCAGAGGTCTGGGTGAAAAAGGTGAAGGAATTAAGACGCACAAATGGCCAACTCTGAGAACAGTCACCGGGAGGTAAAGTACAGCCCAGGGAATAGAGTCAATACTTGTAACAGCTACGGATCGTGACAGACGGGCACTAGACTTACCAGGGGAACCGCTTCTTAAGTTACATAAATGTTGAATCGTTACGTTGTACACCTGAAACTACTATAATAGTCTATGCCAACTGTAACTGAAAAATAAAAAAGTGTAAAAACAAAACCCCAGAACCCCACATTTCATGAATAAAGCCATCAAAGACAACCGTTGTAAAAGAAAAGAAAGTTCCGCAGAAACGTGGCCTATCCCGAAGCAGGCCAAGCCGGGGCCCTGAGCCCGCCCCTCCACCCTGCGGTCGGGGGCGCGTTTGGTGAGAGTCTGGCGGCCTCTGCCGGCGCCTCTGCAGAGGCGGGTTCCTCGGCGCCGCGGACGGCATGTGGTGCTCTGGAGAGGTGAGAGCGAGCGCGAGTGCGCCGGGCGCGGGGGGATCTGCAGCGGGCAGCGCGCGGCCTCGGGCGCGGCGCACAGCGGAGCCGCAGGGCGGCCGCGGGAGCGCGGGGCGCCGATCAGCTCGGCCCGGGATCGCCTCGGCCGGGAACGCGGGGCAAGTTCGGCTGGCAGCATGGGGCGGTGACGCCGCACACCGGCCTTCCGCGCCTGCCAGCCGGGCGACAGCAGGCGGCGGCGGAGGAGGATGCACCGTAGCCGACGGCTCGCCTCCCGGGGCCGACGCGCAGGGTAAGCCCCGGGCGCGCGGGGCCGGGCAGTGGGGAAAGGAGCTGCGGGAGAGGGTGAGTGGACGGGCGGCCCCAGCTCGGCCCGCACCCCTGTCCTCGGGGCGTCCGAGCCGCGGACTGCAGGGTCCGGGAGGGGAGCTGGAGAGCGGGCGGGGTGCCGCGGGCGGCCGGGAGCGCAAACTTTCCCCCGGCGGCCGCGGGAGCGCTGCCAGCGCGGGAGGACAGGGGCGTCCTGGGAGGCGCAGTCCTGCCGGACGGGGCAGCAGGGCGCAGCGCCCACCCCGCCCGCCGCTAGGAATCGGGGCGTGGGGATGCCCGCCCCTGCCGTCACTGGAATCCGAGGGGCGAAATCGCCCTCCTGGAGGGCCCCGCCAGCCCCAGGGCTCTGAGGCGCGCGGGGTCCCGGCGCCGCTGGCGGGGTGGGCGGGGGCTCCACTGGGGTGTTGCTCGCGGGTCGCGCGGGCTGCTTGCTGGAGGCCGGGGGGGCTCGGAGCCGCCGCTGCACCGCGCGCTCCTCGCCAAGGAGGAAGGCGCTGCCCGGCGTGGCGTTCGGCTCGGACCCGGGGCCGGAGCTGGAAGGTGTGCGAGGGCCAGAGTGAGCCGGGGAAGGCCGGCGAGCAGGAGGCACGGGGCGCGCCGCTGCGGACCGGGCGGGAGGCCGACCCCGCGGAGCCGCGGGAGCCGGGGTGACCGAGGCTGAGGCTCCGCAGCGCCGCCCCCGTTTCCCCCGGGTCCGCCAGCCCCCGAGACGGTCCGGGGACGGTGGGTGCGCGGTCTTCCTTTGGGGGCTCGGGGTTGAGGGGCAGCAGGAGGCGCCGCCCAGGTTTCCCGCATGCAGCGCCGCGTGCTCGCCGCTGGGACTCCAGCCCGGGTCAGGCGACAAGCCCCGGGGCGCGCCCAGGCGACCACCGCAGGGCAGCATGGCACCTGGCCCTTCGGGATACTGGGGCCTTCGCTTCTGAGGTCGAAGTACCTGTTGTGTGGTTCCCAATTCCGGAGTTGGCCTGGGGTCTCTTTGGGAAAATGTTCCCTTTGAACACGAGGTGTTCCTGTGGCGTGTGCGCCCCTTTGCGATATGCGCATGCTGAGAAACGTGTGCCTTCGCTCAGATGAGTTGCAGAGCCCAGGGACCCTGCTGCCTGGATCTCGGGAGCATTCTTTGGGGCCCAGCAGCACCTGAGAGAATTCCCCAAATGCAGAGATAACACGAAGTTATCGAGCCATGGGGGACCGGATGCTGAGAAAGTGCAGGCTTCCCTTATAAGCAGTTGTGATAAATCCTGTAGACTTGCTTCTTAAATGTGCCTTTTCCCCCTCTCTTTCCACATACTTTCTCTCAGCACCTTGCAGAACGCGGAGTAGCCTGCTGGCTTTGAACACGTGGCAGATATCTCAGAAAGGTAAAATTATTCCACATGTGGATTTGACAGAAAGAGCAGTTAGAACTTCAAGCATTGATTCTAATAATAGGACTAAGGGGTCCTCTGATAATATGCCAAAGAGTAAAACGTAGTCCTTGACATACAGAAAAAATACATTAGGGGAATGAGTCTGCACGCTAAGTAAAAATTAAGCGAGATTGGCGTTTCTTTCTGTGCCCAACTTCCTGTGCAGGGGGCAGGGGAGACCCCGGCGTGGGGCTTTGCTGGGGACAGCCAGGGTACTTTCTGTGGCACATGTGTGCCTTAGCGGCACGCGTTGATTCTAGGAACAGTGACGGGAAAACGTTCGTGCTCATGTTTTTCCTTTCTGTGCCTTTCAACTGGAAGACCCGTTGGAGAAAGGAAGAGTTTTTCTTCGCAATTCACCTCCTTCGATTCTTCTTCTTCTTGGGAATGGACGATGGAATGTTCTCGAGCTTTATCATGATCAAGAACCTCCTTCTCTTTTGTATTTCCATGAACTTGGCCAGTCACTTTGGGTAAGTGATCATTTTTTTACGCTCTGATTTTACGTTTTTGGGGGCACGGGCGCCTCTGAGAAACTTTGCTGGGCAGCCCAGCTTTGCCATAATCATTGTCTCATGCCCTTGGGTTTGCAGTAAATCCATGAGGGTCCTTGCCGGCCCCCCCCCCACAGCCCCCGTTTCCTTCCTGAGCAAGTGTGGGGCACATTTTGTCTGCAGAAATGGAAGAAAATATTTGTGGAGTCAGCGGCGTGTTGTCCTACTCAGGTTAAAATGAGACTCAAGTTCAGGGGTATGAAAGTCATTTATTGCTTGTTGGACTCTCGTCTCAACATTTTGGCGGACCACCCCCTGGGCTCCAGTATGCAAAGGAATTTACCTTGAAGGCCGAACCCATGCTCTGTGGCGGTGACAAGGACTCGCGGTGCCCTTGGCCTTGAACTGCGGGGCAGACCCCAGAAGGTACACATGTCTGATGATGAGCAAGGTGCCAGGCATCCGCTGTCCCTTTAAGGTCTTTCCCCTTGGCCTTTGGTATCAGTGTTCCGGTTCTCATCCGTTTTCATTGAACTAGTGATAACCGGCATTTTGGAGAAACGCTCTTAGGAGGGGCTGATGTTTTTCCACTCGCCTCTGCTCCCTGAAAGTGTCCCGGCCCACCCACAGGCGTGTACCTTGCAGGAGATGCAGTATAATTAAAAGTTACATTTCAGCACAAATCTGCCGAGCCCTCTTTCTGTGACACCCGGTCCCGGAGGCTGCACAGGACGCTGTGTAAGTCACGAGTGGTCATGGGAATGCGGTGGCCGCGGGGATGGCTGATAGAAACACCTGCTCTCTGGCCAGTTCACGGCGTCCTGTTTGTCCCCTGGACATTTTCTGCTGTCTGACCTTTCCAGGTCTGTTCAGAGGTGGAAACTGAGCAAGGGAGAGAATGTGACTGTCCCCAGGTGCTGTGGCTGGTCAACGATGGCCCTGGGTCTGTGTACCAGGACAGCCAGGGGTGTATCTATTCCTCTAGACCTTCTGAGTGTCCCTGTGGGACAGACATCAGCTGTTATTTTTGCCTTGTTGCTGGTTCTGAATGGACGCCTCCCCATCTGTGACTTTGGTTCCCTATCTGTTAAATGAAAGTTGTCCTTTTCTACATCCCTCCCGGCTGTTAAATCCTATACGCCACTCTGTCCCCAGGATTCTTCTGAATAAAAAGTGTGTATATAAGTGAAATGATACCCAATCTTCAGATCTCCAAGTTAATACATTAGGTAGGTAGGTTGTTTACTGATACGCGGCATACAGTTAGCATTATTTCAGAGGACTACGCTAGGATTAGAAGCATGTGGTTTGTTTTTGTTCTTGTTTTTGGTGTTTGTTTTTTTTTAAGATTTGGCCAAACACATTATTGTGAATTTGCATTTTATAGCAATGAAGTTATTATTCTCTCTGGTGGATGCTAGTTTGAAATAGGAAGTCATGTGCACATGAAGTTTAGCCATTAGAAGCACCAATACTTTATTTCTTGTTTAATTGGGTGGCTTTCTGAGGTCATCTTTAGAAGAGAGAGCAAACTGTCCGCTTCTAGAAACCAGCGCCAAATTTCCCAAGAGAATTGATTGTTGAGGTATCTCGGATCCTTTAGGTATAAGGTCAATATGCTAGTCCATCCTAAAACAAGACCTACTAACTGCCAAAAATACATGACACACAGAATAATATACAAAAAAAGGAAAATATCCTTAATTCCACAGACACAATCTTCCTTCATATGCTGCTGTGTCTTCTTTCCCTTACTTTTCTGCATATTTTTATGCACCTGGGATCATACCTCACCTTCAGTTTTATACAGTGTGTTTTTTATGCCTAATACCCTTTAAAATATATGATTTAAAAAATGGATGGATATGATTACAGGACACAAACGCTTACTCATCAGCTACTCCCCTAATTTGAGATGTTCACATTGTTTCCCACGGGGCTGTTAGAAATTTTCTTACAGTGAACATTTTTGGCTTCTGACCATTTTAAGTATTTGAGATCATTTCTATTAGGGGACATTCCTTAAAGTGGAATTTTACATCACGTACTGAGTGGTTTCTTTTTTTAATTGATTTTAGGGAAAGAGAAAGGAAGGGAGAGAGAGGAAGAGAAATACTGATTTGTTGTTTCACTTATTGATGCATTCATTGGTCGCTTCTTATCTGTGCCCTGACTGGGGATTGAACCCGCAACCTTGGTGAATCTGGACAATGCTCTAACCAACTGCGCTACTCAGCCAGGGCCCTGAGTGTTTTTAACTCTTGTGCCTGTGTGTTCAGTTTTCGATGAAAAGGGATGTCTAGAAAAGCAGGAAGCCAGGTTTCATACCCTAATATAAGCCTCCTCTCACTTGCTTATTGCTCAAAATGTACTTAAGAGTAATTCTATTACGCTGGAAAGAAAGTTTCACAGCACTTACTTGAGTTAAAATCTTGGCAAAATACTAGCTATGGCAATATGGAGCGTTATTGTTATTTCTGTTCTAGGCAAGTCCCCGGAGGAAACTTGTGAGCTAAACATCAGTAGCTCTGTCTTACAGTTGGGGAAGGTGACAGGGCTGGATAGCTCACTGGGGAAGGTCACCAAACCAGACAACAGGTGGAGGGAGGCTAAGGAGTTTCTCAGAAAACCAGTCAGGACCAGGAGAGGTCTGTCCCAGCTTTTGTACATGTTCAGTGTTGTACAAGTGCCTGTGACAAGAGTGTGGATTTGGAGATCAGGAAATGTGTAAGTCTTGCCCTGGCCGGGTGGCTCAGTTGGTTGGAGCATCGTCCCATACACCAAAAGGCTGTGGGTTCGATACCTGGTCCAGGTGCATACAGGAGGCAGCCAACTGATGTTTCTCTTACTCTCTCTCTCTCTCTCTCTCTCTCTCTCTCTCGCCCTCTCCCCCTCATCCCCCCCCTTCCTTTCTCTCTAAAAGCAATGAAAAAAATGTTCTCCGGTGAGGATAAAAAAGAAAATGTCTAAGTATGATGAGTAGACTATATTTGGTGATCATAGGAGATTGATTAGTGAGCAGTGGTTTGAAAATATATGATTATTCTTTCTTCTTTCCTGTACATTTTCTAAATTTGATCACCACTAGCTCATGTTCAATAGGTTTCAGAGTCTTCCCTTAGTTTTACGTTATATAACGGAGCATGAGTCAAGTGAGTAACGGAACAGAGGTCTTACGTGACAGGCACCCTGATACGGTGTCACATTTGGAGGCATGCATGGTATTATTGAGGCATTATAATTATTTTAATGAGGCCAGTAATCAAAAATACATGGTACAGAAAAACTAGCACAGACATGCTCTTTGAATCAAGGTAAGGTCAAAATACATAACATTACATTTTAATGGGAATTAATTTGTTATCATTGGAAAAATCATACTTTATCAGACTCAATCAGCCAGTGCTAATTGTAAGATAAATTTGAGGATCATCAACTCATTAATAAGCTATAATCTGATTTCCTCTGTTGAATTGTGTCAAACATATTTTAGAGGTTTATATATTGGAAGAGAAAAAACACATTAGCACTTCATTGCATTGGAACTACAATTCAAACAGGCTTTGGTAAACCAAAGTTTTTGTTTTGTGTTTGCATTTGAACTAAATTTATTGGGGTGACATTGGGTAATAGAATCAGACAGGTTTCAGGTGTACGTTTCTATGATACAAGATGTGTATATTGTATTGTGTTTCCATCACTCAAAGCCGTATCTCTTTCCATCCCCATATATTTGACCCACTTTGCCCTTTACTACCCACGCCTCCGTCTCGTAACCATCATTCTGTTGTCTGTGTCTATGAGTTTTTGTTTGATTGTCTTGTTTGTTCATTTGTTGCTTTCAGTTTTCTATCCCACATGTGAGTGAAATCTTATGATTGGCAACTGAAAGATTCTTGAAGAAGAGACTTGCGTGCATGAACAGAGAAGGTTGTCCTTCATCTGTCCACACGAGTGTGCTTACCTGGACCTTTGGGTCTCGCGAGAGCTGCTTTGTGCACCTGCCCAGTCGGTCCTCTTCTTACTACAGCACGAAATGCATTCTCACTGAACCGCTCAAGTCTCGCGGTGTCTTTTCACAGAACAAGTCCTCACTTGCAAACCCCAAGGGGCAAGTTCTTCCTGCACTGTGGCTGCAGGTTCGCAAGGCCGGGGACAAATGGTCGTAGCAACAATGATACAAACACACGGAAATGCCACCAAAGCCGTTAGGTGAATGTGCTACGTGCCACACACACAGACAGTGGGACATCTAAGTGGGGCAGGGATGGCCAGAGATCAGAAAGATAGGTAGGTGACTTGGACTCTGCTCCAGGGTAAAATAATGCCCAGCAAAATTTTTTAGCCTCTCCAGAGGACATTTTTTCATTGTTTTGAGAGAGACAGAGAGAGAGAGAAAGAGAGAGCGAGAGAGAGAGAGAGAGAAACATAGACACAGAGAGAGAAACATCTATCAATTGCCTCCCATACGTGCCTTGACCAGGGATTGACCCCAGAACCTTTTGGTGATAGGATGATGCTCCAACCAACTGAACTACCTGGCCAGAGCCAGGAATTTTTTAAAAAGATACTCAAAGGAAAGATTTCTCAGTCACATGCTGTATGAAGGAAATGTTTAGCATGTTCATCATTCCCATGGGCCGTGAGCTAAGCAAAGCTTAGGGTGCCTGGCTACAGCCCCAGCCTTGCCACCCATCCGACCACCAGCTCCAATGTGAGTCACTGACTCCGTTCAAGGGGAGAAAGAGAATGTAGGCTTTTGGATTTGTACAAGGTGCAATTACATAACGTGCATATTCTAATTAGTGCAAGATTTCAGAGGAAAATTATTAGAATCAAAAGTGAAAAGAAATCTTATCCTGGAGCTCTGGTGGTAGAATAATAATCATCTGTGTTGATATGGCTCTATCTCCTTCATTTCCAGAATGCATTTCAAAACATGTATGATTCAGCCCTGGCCAGGTGGCTCATTTGGTTGA